GGACATCATGGCCAAGATTCCCCGGAGTACGCGACGTGCTGTGCGGAAGGCCCATCGTGGTCTTGGACACCCCAGCCGACCGACATTCGTCAAGATGCTGCGTCTCGGCGGTGCAACGCCCAACGCGTTGGCATACGCGAAGCATTGGCAGTGCCCGACTTGCGCTGAGTCGGAGGCGCCGCCCCGTCCAGTTGAAGGGACGGCGGACGTGCGACCATTCGGCTTCAATGTGACGGTTGTGATCGACGTGAAGTACCTACGGGACGCGGCCAAGGAGCAGCTGGTGGTCCTCAGCATGGTGGGCGCTGGTACGGGATGGCACTGCGCATGCCTTCTCAAGAATAGGGCGGCCAAGCACGTAGCGCGCCAGATCATGAACGAGTGGTTCAAGCATTACGGCGTGCCAGAGAACATCGTGATCGACCAGGGCGGCGCGAGGGCTACTTCAATGCGCTGATGGAGCAGTTCGGTATTAACACGAAGACGACGGGAGCCCATGCAGCATGGCAGCACGGCCTGGCAGAGCGCCACGGCGGCCTGCTCGGCACTATCTGGGGCAAGGTGGTGCACGAGTTCCACCTCGAGGGCAAGTCGATGTCTACTGTGGCCCTGGCTGCCATCGTCAACGCGAAGAATTCGACGATCAGCCGCAACGGGATGACCCCGGAGCAGGCTGTCTTCGGGCGGATCTTGAATTTCACGGAGGTGACCAACAGGGACGACGACGAGGTTCTCATGTCGGTCCTCGGCGCTAAAAGGTATAGCTTGGCGTTCATCCCAAATCCGCACCGCAGCCAAGATGATGTTGCTGGAGCGCGACGCGACGGACAAGGTGCGGAGGGCGCTGCTGCGACAGGCGCCGACGGTCGTCGGCGATCTGCGCCCAGGATCACGGGTGTATTTCTGGGCACCGAATCCGTTCAAGGGACGTCGCCGGCAAGATCCTGAAAGGTGGCGGGGTCCTGCGACTGTGATCGCGAAGGAATCCAACAGCCGGTATTACTTATCATGGCGTGGTCACGTGCTACTCCTTGCTCGTGAGCAGCTCCGGCACGCTTCCTCTCAGGAGGCCGCGGCTGCGGAGTGCATCCAGACGGACGTGCGGCTGACGCAGCAGCGAGATGATCGTGCCTACCACGACATCGTGGACGCCACGCCCAAGGTGAAGGTCCAGAGGGTGAAGAAGACGTTCTTGAAGAAGGAACGCGAACGACATTATGAGCTCGAGGGGTCCAGGCAGCCCCGCGTGGATCTGAAGGCCCTGAACGCCACTGAGGCGCAGGCTAAGGAGGAGGAGCCACCTGAGCGGGAGCAGTTGCCGCAGCTTCCACCTCCGAGGAGGGCCCGGTCTCGTTCCCCTCCAGGCCGGATGTCCTCTGGGACGTACCCGGAAGCTTCTCCGGGAGCATCGGGCTCCGGTGGCCCTCAGGAGCCGCCGATTCCCAGAGACGATTTCGAGCTCGAGCGGAAGCGGAAGTTTCTGGTAGATGACGTGCCTAGCTGCATTAAGAGATCGCGTCTGCAGGCTGCCCCCACGAGTGGCTTGCCGGCCCTCCGCGAGGTGGCCATGAACGCTGTGGCGCACTCGGGGCCCCAGGAGTGGTTCGACCAGAATGCCTTGGATGGCGTCTCCACGCTCGTTCAGAAGGTTGTGCGAGGAGTACGTGTGCATCGAGAGCCGCGGCGGCGACTCTATGATCACGACCGTCACCGGGAGTGCAATCGCTTGTCGGTGATGCTCTCCGCCACGGGCCAGTGCGCCTACAAGGACGACGGCGCGAGCCGTACCAACGAGCGCATGGAGGACAGCTGGGTTGGTCTCACGCTCTTCTACCACGACAAGCCGGATGCTCAGGCACAGGGGGTGTACTATTTGGACACTCCAGAGGGTCTTGTACGGTAGCCGCTGACTTACGAGGAGTGGACCAACGTGTCGTCCGTGTATGACACATGGCTGCAGGAGGCACGGTACGAGCACGACGTGTTCGCACTCGTGATGAAGCAGAACGCGAAGGAGCTAGACCCACGTCACTTCGACCAGCACGAGAAGGCTAAGTTCGACGAGGCCGATGCCGCCGAGTGGCGGCAGTGGATCGCCAACGACACGGTCGAGCTGGTCACCGAGGAGGAGGAGAGGAGCATTCCGAAGGACAAGATCATCTCGGTGCCCATGCGTTCGGTTCGCACGAACCGGGGGCGAGGGCCAGAGTTGGAGGCGAAGCCGCGCTTGATTATCCCTGGCCATCTCGACCCGCAGCTTGGTCTATTCAGGACGGATGCGCCTACTACCTCCCCTTTGGCCGTGCTGGTGTGTGCGTCTATCGCAATGGCGATGGATTGGACATTCGAGTGCTTCGACGTAGCGACTGCGTTCCTGTCCGGGCTGAAGCTGGAGCGGGAGCTGCACGTGAGGGCTGCTAAGGACGGACTTCCGGCCGTCGACGGCGCTGGATGGCCAGCTGTGCGGCCTTATGCGTTGCTTCGTTTGCTGACAGGGGCGCACGGTTTGACGGAGGCGCCTCGGTTCTGGCATCTCCGAGCCTGCCAGGTGCTGACGGACGAGGTCGGCTTTGTGGAGCTGCGCTGTGCTCGGGCCGTATTCGTTTACCGGGTGACCGGCAAGTTGATTGCTACGTTGACGTTGCACGTCGACGACGGCGCGTTGTTTGGGGACCCGCGCGACCCCCAGTACCAGAAGGTGAAGGCGAATATCAACAAGCGCTTCAACATCAAGCACTGGAAGGAGGGCAATGACAAGGAGGCAGCCGCCTATCTCGAGGAGGAGTGGTGGCGCCACCCCGATCACATCGAGATCAGCATGCACGAGGACATCGGCAAGCTGACAAAGCACCCCCTTGCAAGGGGGGAGGACGAGGAGCGGGAGATGACTCCCGAAGAGCACCACGACTTGCGGAGCTTGCTCCAGAAGGTGCGCTGGCCTGTCGCACGCGCGGTGCCACAGCTCGCTTACAGTGCGTCGGCGCTCGCACAGAAGGATCCGAAAGGTCGGCGGTTATTGCACCTGCGAGTGCTCAATGACATCATCGACCGACTTCAGGACTACGACAAGAGAGGTCTTGCGACTCTCCGGATCCGCCGCGTGGACAGCGAGCGCTTGCAGGTGCCCGCGCTCATGGGCGCTTCGTTCGCGAAGGAGCCCGGCTGTAAGAGTCAGATGGGGCTCATGAGTATGATTACGGACATGCGCGTGTTGAAGGAATTAGCGGTGTGTTTAGTTGAGTTCCAGAGCAGTACTATTACACGAGTTTCTGGATCCACGACGGCCGCAGAGTCTGCAGCTATGTCCGTTGCTTTGGATCGGCAGCTCTACCTCAGGCTGCTTATCGAGGCAGTCTTGCACGGGGAGCCGCCCTTGCAAGGGGACTGGAGGCTGGTGCTGAAGGTCCCGGGGGCGCTTGTGACGGATGCGAAGTCGCTCTACGATCACACGTCCAAGATCGGTTCGATGCCGGTGTCTCGGCAGACCCTCATCGACCTGTTCGTGGCCAAGGACTTGATCGAGCAGGAGGCCATCAAGTTCAAGTGGCTGCCCAACAGCCACATGCAGGCGGACGTGCTGACGAAGGCCGTGCAGCCTAACGAGGTGCTATTGCAGTTCCTCCGCCACGGAGTGTTCAGCATGGTGCCGACTGCTGAACAGGAGGATGAGGAGGCACACCGTCTGCGGCTGCGCCGCGGACAGCGTGAGAGAGCCAAGGAGCGGAAGGTCCAGCGTCGGGCCGCCGTTTCAGGGCCTGCGAGCCCATGAGGTCCTGTTGCAGCCGCTGCATGGACCTGGTGATGGCTACGGTGACGTGCACACGCACATCGAGATGACAGTCCGGATCAGTGAGTCTGGACATTCATATCTCATATTTTGAGCCTCAGGCCGCACTTGTGCTTGAGGCGTTCCGGCCTGTGGGCCGGAAGAGGCGGTGGCCGCGTGCAGCGCTTCACGCTTGTAGGAGGCGGCATCGGGGCAGCATTGTTCTCACCCAGTGTGAAGAGGGCACCCTCCCTGCCCCTCTGCCGCCCCGTGCCGCCATTGTAAGCATGATGCATGGATGGTACATTCTGTGCATACTTTTCATGTTTGCGGCGTGCACGCTGCCCGCCGCCGTTTGGCCCTAGTCCTAGGGCCCTGGGGCTGCACTCAGCAGACAGGTCGCCGCGCGGCCCGAGTGAAAACATTCACATTGACATATGAGAGGCCCCTTGTGGGGCCTTCAAGAGGGATCTGGGGAGCCCCTTGAGTCCTCTTGGGCTCTCAGGAGCCAATCGGAGGCCTGGGAGGCGTTTGGGCAGCCTTGAAGGATATGATTCCAGCGGATTGCTCGCGGGGCTCCTCTTGGGCTGCCTCAGAGGCCTCTGGTGCATCCCCTGGGGGGGGGGATTGGGGATTGGAGACCGTCTTGGGAGATCATGGCGGCTTCTTGGACTGTCTTGGACGCAGATGAGAATGCCTAAACCGTGCAAGAATTCAACTGAGCGATGCAAAAAAAAACGGGGTCGTCTGCGCCGACATTGGCGCGTCAGCTGCGAGCGTAAGCTCGCGCGCAGGCGCCCTCGTCTCCAATGAGGCGTGTCGCGCTCGCGGTCCGCGTAAGCCGCGGCGTAATCATCGCCCAACAGGGTTCTGACGATTTGGGGGCCTCTCGGGCCGGCACCTGGGGCCTTCAAGACGGACCCAGAAAATGTCCTCGGGGGCCTTCTGTTGACATTTTGGCGGGCGTGGGAGGCCTAGGATCATCAACCAGGGTGCGATGCCTCCAAGCAGTCACGCGACGAACCCCGAGGGCGCGCGGGCCCCAGCAGTCGGTGATCTGGTGGCCTCGAGCGCATCATAGACAAAGGCCGGTACAGCAGACCGTTGCGGGCCCGAAGACGTTTCACTAAGTACTTGCGGCGCGGTGGCGGTCTGCAGTCGTGCGCATGACCAGTGCAGATTTTGATCACGATCGCGGCTTCAGATCTCAGATCACAGATGGCTGTCGTCCCAGGAACGGGGAGGAACCGGAGCTCAGCGAGTACCACCACATTCCCCACACGCAGGCGCCGCGACGCTGAGCCCGCACATGCATTGTCTATGTGTGTGTGTGTGTCTGTGTGTGTGTGTGTCCGTGTGTGTCTGTGTGTGTCTGTGTGTGTGTGTCTGTTGTGTGTGTGTGTGTCTGTGTGTGTGTGTGTCTGTGTGTGTCCGTTTGTGTCTGTGTGTGTGTGTGTCTGTGTGTGTCTGTGTGTGTCTGTGTGTCTGGGTGTGTGTGTGTGTCTGTGTGTGTCTGGGTGTGTCTGTGTGTGTCTGTGTATGTGTGTCTGTGTGTGTCTGTGTGTGTGTCTGTGTGTGGCTGTGCGTGTGTCTGTGTGTCTGTGTGTCTGTGTGTGTTTGCGTGTGCAGTTTGGAGGGCCTTGTCTCCAGTGATCTTCAGCGCGTTCCTTCATCAAGTTGGGATGCCACCTTGTGTCCGCACACAGGGAAGGCGTGGCGGCCGCCGATGCCCGCCTGGAAGCATCAGCACCAGAGGTCAGGGCAGGCTTCATCGACCTCGAGGCATACGGTCAAGGCGCTGAAGTGAGGACCACCTTGGGCTCAGGAGGGGCTCTGATTTTCAGGCCCGTCCTGGGAACAGGGTCGGGGAGGTCATTCGTGGCCGAGACTCGCCGCGGCGAGAAAATCCCCTCGCTTTGTTCTTCGGCGATGCTCATGATAGCACGATGACTGTACACAGGCCGAGGGACGCTGAGGCAGCTGAGCGATGTTGCAGAAAAGCATCTGCGCTGGAGGTCGGGGAGTCCCTCGACCCCCGCGCCAGTCTCCCCAGCTGCGCGCCGTCGGTCTTGGTGCACGGTCACAGCATGCGCGGGAGACGTGCGTTGGGCAGACAGCCCTCGTCAGATGCTCTCGCATGGAAGAACAACTACAAGCGAAGATCTCCATGATCGCAGACCTTTCCTGCCGGTTTCCTTTCTCAGTATCTGGGCATGTGCACGGCAGATTGTAAATTCCAGTGAGACTGGGCGATTTAGCGCGAGTCAGTCTGAAAGGGAATGGGTCGGAGTATGACCGATTGAGTATGATTGGATCTGAATACGAGTATGATATCCGGGTTTTGAGTACATTTGGGTACGAGTGGGTCTGAGTATGAGTGGGTCTGAACGCGAGTGAGTCTGAGTGAGAGAGAGCCTGGGTATGAGTGAGTAAGAGTGTACGTGGCTCAGCATGGGCGGTTGAGTACGAGTGAGCTTGAAAACGATTGGTATCGGTGCGAGTGCGTCTAAGTGCGCGCGTGCCTGTATATGAGCGCTGAGTAGCACAAGCGGGCTATGTATGAGTGGTCCGGAACATTAACGAGTCAGAATGTGGGTGAGTTTGATTATGAGCGTCTGGGCATGAATGGACTTGAGCGTGAGTGGATCTGAGAATCAGTGAGTCATTTTTGGATCTGCGTATGAGCTTGTCTGAGATTGAGTGGCTGAACATGAGTGAATCAGGGCGGGAGTGGATCTGAGTGTGGGTGATTTGGTATGGGTAAGTAAGTCTGAATATGACTGGGTGTGCGTGAAGCCGAGTATGGGATGAATGGACCTGGCTTGACCAGGAGTGAGTTGGAATACGATTGGGAATTGGTGCGAGTGGGTCTATGTGTGCACGTGCTTGAGCATGAGCGATTCTTAGTACAAGCGGAATTGAGCATGAGTGGTGCGGAGTATGAACGAATCGGAATGTGGGTGAGGCTGGCTATGAGCGTCCGGCCATGAGTGGATCTGACTGCGAGCGAATCTGAGTTTGAGTGGGTCGCCAGTAGAACTGCGCATGAACGAGTCTGCTTATAAGTGGCTCACCATGTGTGAATATGGGCAGGCTTGGGTCTGAGTATGGGTGGTTGGGTATGGATAAGTAAGCTTGGAAATGATTGGGTGAGTGTAAGCGAGTCTGGAATGAGTGGACCTGGCTTGAGTATGAGTGAGTCTACATGTGAGCGAATCTGAATACGAGTGGTTGTATAAGAGCGAGTTTGAATGTGAGTCAATATGGGCATGAGCGACTGGGTTTGACAGGTGCCCCAAGCCTGAGTCCTGACCACGGCACTGGTATATAGCACGATGACTGCCAGGAGCGAGCCGGCACGCATGGAGTGGGCTTCCTGGCAAGCTTCCTGGCAACCACTCTGGCAACGGCATGGGCGCCGCAAGCGAGCTGACCTGCACCCTGGCATCATCACTGGCAGCGCGGTGGCCGCCGGCCGCCAGCCTGCGCGCTCGGAGTGAGCCTCCTGGCCACGCACGTGGCAGCAGCGCTGGGCACGCGATGGGCGCCGCAAGCGAGAGGGCACGCTCGGAGCGAGCTTCCTGGCCTGCACCCTGGCTTCGACACCGGCAGCGCGACGAGTGCCTGGAGCGAGCGGGCACGTTTGAAGTGAGCTCCCTGTCAGCAGTGGAGTCAACGCGCATAGTAAGGACGCGAGCGTTTTTCCAGGGCACTCTTGCGTCCTTGCCACTGCGGCCCGTTCTTTGCCGTTTTCACTGGTCGCCCGTCGCCCAAAAATCCCAACTTCGGCCTCCAAGGGTCTTGTGCCCTGACCATTTATGATGTTCCAACCGACTTTAGCCTTGATCACCAGAAAGAATTTCGAGCAACATGACAGTATCGAAACCTGAGGGCTTTCACGTGTCGGGCCCTGGGAGGCGATACTCGTTGGACACTGTTTCGGCACCTGTCTGGGCGCCCGAAGATATTTCTGGGATCCTCATCCTTCAGCACGATGAGAGCAGCACAGCCTCACCACCCTCCCTCGGGATGCGCTCTCACTGCACGGGGCAGCGCGGGGGGGGGGCAGCCGCCCCGGGAGCGGGCAAACGCTTGGCGCGAGCTGCCCGGCAGGCGCGCCGGTCGCGCGCGCTGCGTGGGCCGCCAGCGGGGGGTGCGCGCGCGGGAAGGCCACGGGGAGGCTCACGGGAGGGGCGCCGCCCCGGGGCACCCGGAGCGCGTTTCGGTATTGCTTGGGGCATCGTGGACAGTGCAGCCCCCGGCCCAGACATGCTCGCGTCGTTAAAAAGTCAGGACGGGAGGCTTTTGCCAAATTTCGGCCTCGGGGGGCCCTCGCCGGGCCTCCGGACCGTCAAAAAACGATTCGGGATGAAAAGCCGGTCCCGGGGAAAGGGTCGGGACTTCCAGGGCCGCTTCCCTGAAAAAATCAGGACGACGCATGTCAGGGCTTGGATTCTTGAAAGTAGGAGCGTGTTTCTTGCCTGGGGCATAATGGGCATTATAGCCCCCGACGCCCCTCCCCCCCCCATAATGCAACGCCCCTCCCCCCTCCCCAAAGTGCGCTCTGGGCACCGCCGCCGTGCGCATCTGGCACACGACGGGGGGGGAGGCGTTACATTATACCCACCCCTGGCCCCTCCCCCCCAATAATGCCCATTGTCGCCGAAAATAAAGGAACGCGCTCTTGTCTTGCGGGAAGTACTGGAGTAGACGCTGAGAGTCCTCGAGGCAGGCCTAGTTACTTAGGGAAGAACCTGGGCCCCCCCAGCGGCGCCTCCGGCGCCGCCCCTGGCGCGCTCCGCGCGCCAGGGAGGGGGGTCCAGCGCGGATCCAAGAAATCCGCGCGGAGCGCCAATAGTTTATGTTTATGTGTTTGTTCCTTTTTCTATTAGTAGACGCTAAGAGTCCTCGAGGCAGACCTAGTTACTCAGGGAAAAGCCACGCGATTGTGCATTGTTGGATGTCCGCGCGCCTTGAGCGCCGCCACTGGCGCCCCGCCCTGCTTGAATCGCGATAGCTTTTCACCGACTGCCTGAATATTGAGACGGCTGAGGAGAGCGCACACACACACACATTGTACTTGTTGTTCGTCCATGGCCATTTCGGTCAGAGATCCGGCCATCTCCGACCTCTCCACAAACGTCGAGGAGATGTCGGGGCTGAAAAGGAAGCGCAAGTTGCCGCCGCAGGAGCCGGGCTGCACGCCGCTGCGCTACAGCTCCCCGACCATGGAAACGGCAATTTCTCTGTCATGAACTGGGTGCACGCGGCGTACAGCAGCAAGGCTGGCAAGCGCGGCGGCGACGTTGGCACGGAGGGCTTCAAGCATCGTGCAGCTCTTGTACATATTCTTTGTGGGCGTCAGCATGCACGACTGCATCTGGGGCACAGTCCTTTGCGCCGAGTGGTCGGCGCGTGGCCCCAGCGTCCCCGCGAAGAGTTTTGAGAGTTTTGTGCATTTCCTGCAGGAGCGCTCCGCGCCGAAGCTCAAGGGAGCCCAGGACGCTGCTGCGGACAGTTCACCTCAGCACCAGGAGATGGAGTTGGACGACAAGGATGTCGAAACGCGCTGCTGTCTGCCGCGCACTGGCGGGGCGGGACATGCTGCCCGCTCTCCGTGGTCCCCGCCTGCGTGCGGAAGTGGCTGGTGGCCGGGCCCTTTGGTCGCGGGCATCATTTGTTGGAGCGGGGTGCGTGTTCCGGTATGGACCCCTGCTACTGCATCGACAACGCGAGGATGTCTTTGTTTGCAGCAGGCTTGTGTTGCTTGTATCTCTCCCAGGGCTTGGCGTCTTTGGCCATCGCGCTCTACTACTTCATCACGCTTCGTGTCAAAGTCTCGCGTTTTGGCGGCCATCTGGCCGGCGCTCTGCACGCCACTGTGAGTACGACAGTCGATGGGGACAGCGATCCTGAGGAAGGGGGCGAAGGGATGTGTTGAGCGGCCTTTGTCTCCAGCCTCCGCGTCGCCAGATACCTGCGTCCCCCCCCCCCCGCATAAACAAAGACATGGTGTGTAACTTGTTGTGCATCGCTGCGCTGGTGCGCCCGTGCCGTGCGCTCCACGAGCATCTGCTCACGGTCGTGCCCGCGAGCACGCTCCCGCCCACCCCCAAGAGGCAGGCGCAGTTTCCGCGATGCCCGCCGCACCAAGCACTCTCTGCAGGCCTAGCATCGCTCAGACGTGTGCATGTCTCTTCGGCGAGGTCCATCGAGGAGCATCCTGGGTCATCTTGCGGAAGACAAGCGCACGAAACCGAGAAACGCACGGGGAATGAACGTCGAGCGACGGCGAGTAAGCACCGTGCGCTCCACGAGCGCGCCCAAAGGGCACGTGCGCCCCACGAGGGAGCCAGGACGCACGCAGAGCGCTCCAGGGAGGGCACCGCCCTCGGGCGGGTCGGGGGGTTTTGGCATCGCTTCTCCGTCGTGGGCTAGCGGGAGCACGATCGCGGGCGGTATTGCCGGCGGAAGCGGAAGGTGCCCCCCGAGAGCGCGTGTGTCAAGCAGTGGCGGAGCGTCTTGGTTTGCCCATAGGTGCACCGCAGAGTGTTCTGAGAGTTTTTTGTGTGGTTTGCACGACATGTTCTATGAACAGTTCTGGAACAACTCTGGTTGAGATTGCATTGATTTAACACATCGGGCTGATGTTCTAAGAATATTGTTTTGTCATTGGGACATGTTTAATTGGTTCTAAGAATATGTCGTGGTAGGCCTAGGGGAAGGCCAGGGCGGCCAGTCCCTGCTCAAGTTTGGGGGTTCAGAGTTTCTGGCGCGGGCCACACGGCTTGGCCTGCCCGCGCGAACGCGAGGTGGGTGGCTTGGGCGCCACACGACCGCTCACAGGATACATCCGGCCGGGCGGCTCGAAGAGGAAGAAGAGGAGGAGGGGTTGGGAGTCGACGTTGTCGATGTCGACTTCGACGACGCCGTCGACGCTGACGATGACGGCAGTGCCGACGTCGAAGACGACGACGACGAGGACGAAGACGACGACGACGACGACGACGACGACGACGACGACGACGACGACGACGACGACGACGACGACGACGACGACGACGACGACGACGGCGGCGGCGGCGGCGGCGGCGGCGACGGCGACGACGACGACGATGACGTCCGCGCCGACGTCGAAGGCGACGAAGACGATGAGAACGACGACGACGACGACGATCAGCGACGTCGACGAAATTGACGAACGAACGACGACGACGATGACGACCAGCGACGTCGAGGAAGCTGACGAACGACGACGACGACGACGACGATGACGACCAGCGACGTCGAGGGGGGCGACGATATCGACGACGAGGACGACGGCTGCAGCGGCGCCGACAGTTCCGCACGGCAGGGCCTGGCCATGAACCTGCGCAGCTGCTTGCAGGAGGCAGAGCCCCTGCCGCGCGACTTCACGCAGCTCTTCGACGACAGCCTGTTCAAGCGCGGGCACTCAGCGAGAAGGGAGGAGGAGGACTTGGGGAGGCGGAGGAGGAGAGAGAGGGCGGAGGAGGAGGCGAGAGAGGGCGGAGGAGGAGGAGAGATAGGGCGGAGGAGGACGGGACACGGATGAGGACGGAGGAGGATCCAGGAGGGGGACGAGGAGAAGAGGAGGATTGAGTAGAGGGATGAGAAGAAGATGAGAAGGAGATGGAGGAGAAGGCGGAGGAGGGGGGGAGGAGGAGGAGGAGGGGTAGGAGATGGCAGGAGGGGGGAAGAAGGATGGAGGATGAGGAAGGAAAGGAAGAGGAGGAGGAGGAGGAGGAGGAGGAGAAGGAGGAGTAGCAAGACGGAGGGCGGAGGATGGGAGATGTTGGAGGACGGAGGGGGACATGACTCGTAGAGGTGTAGGAGGAGAGACGGGAGAGAAGGAGAAGGGACAGGGCCAAGAAAAAGCCGCGGCCCCAGAAGGGTTTGGTATGTTCTGGGATGGCGTTGCCGAGCTTTGGAGGCTGTTGGACGCTTCTGTGCACGTTCTGTGATATCTGGAGGGCTCCACACGACGAGGGGGAAGGGAAGGGCTTGGAGGCGTCGGGGGCGTGGACATGGGGGTTGAGGACTCGGGCGGTGTGGATGTCATGGCTGGGGCCATGAAGCCTCCCAGGCTTCTCTCCTCCTCCTCCGTCGACGCGCCTCTTGCCCCCTTCTCGTCCGCGCACGTGCCTCAGGGCCGTGCTGCGCCCACCCCTCTCTCTTCCTGGCTTCCCGGCCCCCCTTTTCCGGAGCACCAAGGGAGTGGGAGGAGGAGGAGGAGGAGGAGGAGGAGGAGGAGGAGGAGGAGGAGGAGGAGGAGGAGGAGGAGCAGCAGGATTAGGAGGAGGAGGAGGAGCAGGAGCAGGAGCAGGAGCAGGAGGAGGAGGAGGAGGAGGAGCAGCAGGAGGAGGAGTGGGAGGAGGAGGAGGAGGAGGAGGAGGAGGAGGAGGAGGAGGAGGAGGAGGAGTGCCACTTCTTGCCCTCCTCCCGCTCGCCGCCCCCCGCTGCGCTTCCGTTCTCCCCCCATCCCTCTCCTGCTCCTGCTGCCCCTCCGGCTACGTGTTTCTCGTCCTCGCCCTCACCATTGTCCTGCCCCGCTTTCGCCTGCGATTGCGATCGCGTCAGTACCGCTTTAGAGGAGCACGAAGTTGGCCGTAGGGGCTGTGCCTTACGCTTTGCGTTTGCAGAGGGCGCGATGCTGCGAGGAGGCTCTGGTGGTTCGTGTTTGGCCGGGGTGTTGTGGATGTGTATATCCTTCATGATTCAGATACAATTTACAAATTCTAGACGCTTCGCGTATCCCCACCAGCCCGTCCAGAAACGACGCCCAGGCGAGTAGAGGGTCGTCCTGAGGGGCTTTTCGGCGTCTTGGGTGCCTCGGGGGGGCCTCTGTGGGCCGTTCGGGATCCTCTTTGGGGCCTCCTGGGGGCCTCTTGGGGCCTCTTGGGGCCATCTTGGGGCCTTTGGGGGCCTCCTGGGCGCTTCTTGGGGCCTCCTGGGCGCTTCTTGGGTGCCTCTGGGGGGTCTCTTGGGGCCTCTTGGGGGTCTCTTGGGGGCCTCCTGGGGGCCTCTTGGGGGGCCTCGGAGCCATCTTGGAGGAGATCGATCAACGAAGGGGGGTTCCCTAATTACAGCCCCCCCCCTCAGGAGCCACGATCCTCGTGAGGGGTGTCGAATTTTAGCCCTCCCAGGGGTCGATCTTGGGCGCTCCAACGCGCCGCGGAACCCCCTGTCCAGGTCAGTGGGGAGGGGGTAGGGGGAGGGGTAAACCCCTCCCCGAAGGGGGAAGAGGGAGGGGTGGAAGAGGAAACTCGTTAAACCACCGACGCCCAGAGGGCTGGTGGGATTTCACGGAGACGGTGCGTCGGTAATTCCCTTGGGTCTTTTTGTTACCCTCTGCCCCGGCCATTCGGACATGTCACAGTTCGGTGGTTGGCGGCAGTTACGCTGTGTGCGGAGGAGGTCGAGTGAGGAGATAGATGGCAGAGCGAGCACACCATGTTGGCACATCAATGCATGCATTCATCGGTAGCGACAGTTGCACGGGGAAGCAGCGGAAGTGATGACGCACATTCATTGTGTTGTATTCTAGTGCGGGCCCGATGAGTCCCGAAGCGTAGCATGCAGTCTTGTCAGTAGACGTAATGCGCCCAAGATGCTGCGCGTGAAGGTTTGCCCTCATTGCCTCTTTTCCCATGCGCCCACCCTGGGTATGTGTCACGCGTTCTCGGGATAGTCGCTCCACGGTTGAGCCCAATGGCGTCCCGTGGTATGGGTGATAGTTAGTGCCAGCAGTTGTGTGCCGTTCTCAGCCAGCATGCTGGGTATTCGTTGTGCCTGTGATTCCTGGGGGGGCCTCCCTGGAGTCCTGGCAGCCCCTTCTCCCTGCATGCCAGGGTTGGCCGCCGTGGCTGTGCAGGCGGGGGGCAGTGCCCTGCATTGCTAGGCGTCTGCTTCGCCGTTGTCCCACCAGCATCTGCTTCGCCATCTGCCTCACCAACAAAAAAGGGGCGAGGACGGCCGCTGGAGAAAACGCCCGTCGGCACCCGAACACCCGAAGAGCGGATCGCCAGCTCTCACCCCCCACGTCGCACCCTGCCGCGCGTGCACGCACGCGCGTCCTGCGCCGGGCGTGCCTCGCCTCCTCCGGGAGGTGCCCGGAGACCTCAGGCAGGTCTGCAGTTCGGGGGGGCCCGGGAGGCCGCCCGCGGCCCGAGCCGGACAAGAGGCGCCCAAAAACCTTCGAGTGCTTCCTTGTGGGAGGGGGCATCGCCCTCGGGGGGGGGTGCTCTCTTCAACTCTCCCGAGCATCGGCCAGGGGCGTTGCTCGGGGGGGGGGGGTCTGCCGCGGTCGATCGCCTCACGACGTCTCTGTCCCGCTCTGTCCCCTCCCTCTCGTCGGGTGGGCCCAAAGGGCGTCCAGCGACAAGGGGGTGGTGCAATAGATTCGGTGCAATAGATCTGTGGGGTTGCAACACACGTACCGTACACTCTGGGGCGCAGATGTATTGCTGGACGTTCGCAATACAGTGCAAGACACGAGTTGCAATACAATGCAGTACAATCCTCCGGCGCAAAAAAATGCAATACAATTGCCACAAATCTATTGCACCACCCCTTGCAGCTGGACTCCCTTTTGGGTCGCCCAAATCTCTGTTCCCCCACCGGGCCTCTCCGCCCCAGTCCCGCCAAGGTTCGACACGGACCTCATCCCGGAGAGCGTCAAGCTGTGCCCTGGCCGCCGCGCCCCTCCCTCCACGGACCCGTGCGGGGCGGAAGCACTCCAGCGCGCCAAGAGACCCTACGCAGCACTGGCCGCAGGCTCCTTCCGAGGCCCCGCGGGCAACCAAGTCGTCTGTCCTCCCAGTGGGTGGGTCCAGCGGCACCCTGCCAGGGCGCAGCCATGTCATCGGCTGTGCCAACGCGTGCAGCTTCTGATGTGTCAGAGAACCCGAACAGCACTCGCTACTTCGGAAGAAGAAAAAGCTGTCACGATGTTCGGCCTCGACGGGGCCGCTTCCAGGCCCTGGGACCGTGAGATAACGATTCGGATTCAAACAAACGGACCCGGCGCGGCCACAATTAAGGGATTATTTTATCTTCCAAAGCAGTTCTGAGCAATGCAACGCAATGGAGTGCATTGTTTGGCACTGCTTGGCATCACGTGACATTGTGGCATTGCTTAAGGTAGTTATTTGGCAATGTTGGGCAGTGCGCTGGCATTGCCATGCATTGCTCAGCACTGCTCGGCGGTGCCTGGCACTGCGTGGCACTGCTTGGCGCTGCGTTGCACTGCATGGTATTGCCTGGCGTTCGCTCGGCACTCGTCGGCATTTGCTGTGTGCACGGCTCGGCGCCTCTGTGGCCTGGCTCGGCACTGCTTGGCATTGCTTCGAATGGCGGTGCTCTGCACTGCGTGGCACTGCTCGGCACTGCTCGGCACTGCTCGGCCGCGGGGCAAACCCCGAGCAGCGCAGGGGGGACGCCCGGGGGCATACCCCGAGGCACTGCCAGACGGGAAGGACCCCGCACCCACGAGTTTTTTTCTTCAAGCAGGCACGAACCCTTAAGGCAAAGCCCAATTGAAGGATGCCTTTTTCCTCCTCCTCCTCCTCCTCCTCCTCCTCCTCCTCCTCCTCCTCCTAGCCCCTTCTGCTCAGGTTTGCAGAATGCGGGGCTGAGGAGGGCCCACTTCGGCCCCACTCTACATCCTTTCCATGCTCAGAGGTCTCTGGCCAGCGATGGTCATCACGGCTGTCACCTACAATCCCCTTCATGCCACAGGTGATCGACTCTTGGAAATCTCTCTTGAGCTCGCCAACGTTGCTGTGGTGGGACTGCCAGGTACACAAAGAAAGGCTTTGGTTGATCTTGAGTATCAGACATTCATGATTCAGAATAGGGTATGTATCGACGCAGGGTGGCGATGCGGTCACCTGACTAATCGCTTCGCAGGAGTAGCGGCCCTGCTCCCGCCAGGATGGAGACAGCGAGATGTACGACAAGTCGCAGTCCCACCTCCTGCACTCCAGGGCCATGGCTTGTCAGTTGAATGCGGCAGGGGAGGCTGGAATCTGTGCATGATGGTGCTTTACTTTCCTCCTCGGCCTTCCTCTGCTGCAGGTACGCGTACTTATCTAGCGTGCTGTCGCCAATTGTCTTCGTGGGCCCAGGGGCAGTTCAAGAAACTGCCGAGCCGTTTTCATCCCATTGTCCTCGCTGACGTTAACGACGGAGTTGGGCTGGTCAAGAAGGAAAGAGAGTGGATGGAGGTGGAGACGGAGGCGGTGGGGAGGATCAGGACCAAGGAACGACATGCGGGAGGAGGAGGCCAAAGGTTTCGTGAGCTGCTAGAATCGGCCGACTTGTTTTCGCCCACCACGCTGCGCGAGTACGCACCCACTTTTTATGGGGGTAATGGCAGTAGTTCGATGCTGGATCATGTGGCCATCCCACTTCGATGGTGCGATGCAGTGTGTTGCGCGAACCCTATTCATGCTATAGGCCGTAAGCTAGAAGTTATTCCTAACCGCGAACACCGAGACCATATTCCAGTCTTCGTTCGGATTCAGGTTCAGAGATGGGGACGGGGTCGGCAACTTCAGCACATGCAGGCCCCCGATGGCCTCTCTAGAGATAAGGTACGCTGCGACCGTGACAAGATGATGCAAGGTGTTCGCGGCGGGCCTGTTCGGGAAGCTTTTCTTCAGGAGGTTGAGGCTGCTCTGGAACCTGCTTGGGAGGCGTACCATAATAACATCCCTCGGCCCGACGAGCTGACCCAAAAAATTGACACGGTCCTTCGTGACATTGGGGCGAAGCACTTCTCCCAGGGTGAAAAAAAAGCAGGCCCCAGAGCTGCCCTGTGCAAAGAGCGACTTGAGGTGCTCGATCTTCGCCGACAGCTTCGCAGGCAGCTCCCAAATCTCAAGGGCCCCGAGTTCCAGGAGTGCTGCGAGAAGCTTCGTGAAGCCACCCGTCGTAGCAAAGCTTTATTTCGTCGTCGTCGGCACGAGCGCAATGAACAATTGGTTTCTGGGATCTGGGGCGCCTGGCGTGCTCGGGATTTCCCCCTTATTCATCGGCTGTCGCTGCGTCTTGCCGGCGGGCGCTTTGGCCGCAACAAGCGAGATCTTCGCAAGCTAGACGCTGCACTACCGGCTGCTGATCAATGGATGGAGGCATGGGGACTTGAAGGAGGATTGGGAGGGGTGCAGGCGTCTCGAGTTTCATGGGCAGACGTGTGTGAGCATCAGAGTGCATTGGCCAATCTTCCTGGGCTTGACGAGTCCCGCTCTACCTCGGCCTGCTCGAGAGCCATACTCGATTTGGAGCTTATCCAGAAATGCTTTTCGAGGGCCCCCAAGAGGCGAGGAGTGCCTGTGTGGGCGCTCCCACTCGAGCTATGGCGTATATGCACAGGCAATCCTACTGCTCATGTTGCGCCTTATGCGCGCGCTGGTCTCGGGGCCGACAAAAACGTGACCGACGGGCACTATTCTAAGTTACTGATTCATAGGGTGGTTGCTAGTATTCGATACTGGGGGTGGTTCCTAAGCTATGGAATTTCAGCCAGGGGTTTGCTCTGCCTAAAGCTGCGATTGCTGGACCTCGGGGTAAGAGAGTCGTTCACGGGTTGGATCCGCTTAGCAAGGGGTTCTATGCTGGGATTCTTAAGGTGGGTCCGAAGTTCCAGAATTCAGCATGCGATCATGGATTTCTTCGTTATCGTCGTCGAGAGGACGCCACCGCCGCACGCATGATCACGGGCTGGAGGCTCAACCAATCTGGAACCCAGTGGTGCGATTCCCTGAAAGATTTGTCGAATGCGTTTGCCTCCCCTACCTGGAACTCCCTGGACCAAGCTTGTCATGCTCTGGCCCAACCTCGGGACCGAGCCTTATGTAGACAGCGGTATCGCACCTCTGGCCGCATGCTTCCGTCCTCTGACGGGCCACTGGCGGTCAAGCCTGGATGTGGAGCTTTGCAGGGCGACCCTTTCGCGGTGGCCAGCTTTGTGCGAGCATTTAAGGGCCCAGTGGATCGCTGGTTGCAGCGGCACCAGGAGCAGGACCCAGGGGAACAGTTGCTCTGGCCAACTCTACCCGCCGAGCTTGGACTTGGCAATGAACCTGTGTATCTTGGACTGCAGAAGTTCGCTGATGATCTTCTTTAAAAAATAGTCATTGGTCCCCCGTACAATGCCCAGAAGTTCGGTCAGCTCCTCGATTTGAATGACCAGATCTTGGATGAGGAGTTGGGTGCTATAGGCCTTAAGAGGAACATCAATAAACAGGGGGCGATCGTCTCGGTGCCCCATAGCTTTCGACGAGGTGCAGCTGCGAATCTCAGGGACCGCGACACTCGCATCAGCAGTTCCGTTCGATACCTGGGGCCGCACATCACTCCGACACAGTCGTTCAGCACGGAACCCGCGAGAAGAATCGCAGCTATGAAATCATCCTTTTATCGGTTGGGCAATTTCTGGTTCCAGAAGGGCGTTCCTGCGAGGTGGAAGCGCTGTGTACTACTATGCAATATTGTGAATACGGCGCTCTCGGGGGCGGAGGCGTTCCTTCCCAGTCCTTAGCAGTTAATGGCGCTCCAGTACGCTGCTGCCGCCCTGGCACGTAAAGCTACGAGGGGGGAAGCGAGCTGGGAGGACGAGGAGGGCAGGAGGAGGCCTTTGTCGTCATTAGCTGTTCTCGAATGGTGGCGTATCGTACCGATCGGGATCGAGCTCCAGGTTCGGCGTCTTCGGCGGTTCCAGGCATGTATTCGACGCCCCGCGGCACATGCACGATATCTTGCGGCTCTCCTGGGCGCTATGTCTGATGTAGTGGGGGTCTTCACGGACGCGGGCACCGTCAATCCACAGGCTAATCCCTGGGCAGTTCGACTTCAGGATGATATCTACACGCCGGTTCAATGGAGCTCTGATGCTGCTGAATGTTGGGATCGTGCATCGGGTTCGCTCCTTCGCCTCTTCGGGTTTGAGATAGCCAAAGATTTCGTAAGGGTTGATGTCAGCATCCTTCGCAGTGCTGTTCAAACCTCAGAGGTCCCACCTCCAGGCATCTTCGTGGATTTCGAGGCTCTTGAGGCCGAGGCGTTGTGCACGGACGACTCGCGTATATGTCCATGGCCGTCGTGTCCTTCTCGATTCGCATCGCGGTCTGTCTGGACTTATCAATCACATCCGTCGCGCGCATGGCACAGTGAAGTTATCGCAGGCACTCACTAAGTGCAACCAGTGCATAGCATGTCGTGAAATATTCTGGGACAAGAAAACGGCTCAGAAGCATCTTCATGGTTCGATTCTGCACGGGAGATGTCTAGGTGGCAAAGCATCTACACTTCGTGCACTCGCACCGCCTGGAGATCTATCCTGCCGTGCATGCGGCTCGAGTTTTTTGATACTGGACGAGTACTGCATCCACGCGTGCACGCATCTCCCAGCACTCCCAGAGGTGCGTGAGCTGCGACATGGCCGAGGTCATGGAGATCGATCTTGCAGACGCCCCCGCCTGGATCTTCCCGCTGCGCAAGCGCATGGGCGAGGCGGCCGAGGGGGCCCCCCCTGCCCAGGCGGCGCGCACCGACAGCGCAGCCGGGGGGGCCAGCGGGGGCCGTGGCGGAAAAGGAGGTGGCAGGCGAGGAGACGACTCCATGGACGGCGCGACGCTGAAGTGGGCGGTGCGACAGACGCTGGCCAACTCGAGGGCGATCGCAGACATGGAGTCGAGCATCAACGACACGTTTCTGATATCAGAGCAGACGTGGCTGTCCCAGGCAGGCCTCAGAGGCAACAAGTACTACGCCGAGAGTGTCAAGCAGCTGAAAGAGAAGGCCGCCACCGACCCGTCGACGGACCTCGGCAGTCTAGGGCCACCGTGGCTCACTGTGTTCTGGATTGTATTGGCAGAGATCAAGAAGCACTCTCAGAACGGCCAGTACAAAGACGCGGCCAACCTCTTCTGGGACAATCATGCGAAAGACAAAACGCCCGACGAGATCGCGCTGATGGCCCGTCATTTTTCCTTCCAGGTACCGCGCGGGGAGAAGAGCAAGCGCATGGAGGGGATGGCCAAGTTCAAGCTGCACATCGCCCAGGGATCGGCTGCGGGTCTCGCCCTCCAGGAGCTGATGATGCGCACGCTCACGGAGCTCCAGGCGCAGCGCTTGGTGGGCTCGGCACCCCGCAGTCAGGCAGAGCGTCACCTTCAGCAGTGGCTCCAGCGCGGGAGCTGAGATCTGAAGATATACCCGTGATTATTGACTGGCATGGTGAAGTTATGAATTCTGGATTTCAGCAAGCTAGGCTTGCGACTGAGAGTTTGAATACTGATGGTGCATTGAACTGGTCTCCTCGGGGCAAGAGTTCGAGAACCTCACCTTCGGCGCCAACAACTGCTGATTCGAATGAGATGGGAGTGGGATCTGAGTTACCACGTGCTGCGGCTGATGATAGGATCTGCCCCCCACCTGAGTGGAGTGTGCCACTGCCTTTCCCCAGCCTGCCGTCCTCTTCCACTTCGAACCCTTTTCGCACTCCCCGCCCTTTGCTGCTCTCCCCCAATCTTGCTTCCAGTGCCCGCCTAGCCTCCCTGGTTGCTCGCGGTGTAATCCGCGACGTGAGGGTCACTGGCAGGGATGTCTTCGTGGGGAGCGGGGGTGGGACGGCGGTGGACGGGGGGGAGGGAGAGGAAGCGCGGCTCGCGGCGGCGGACGAGGACCGCGCCCAGGGGCGCGCCGAGCCCGCCCAGGAGCCTAGGCGAGGACGCCCCCCTCCGAAGCGGGGGGGCCAGCCGTCACGTCGCCGATCGTGATCAGTGCATGCTGGCGCCCGCAGGCACCCCTGGGGGGCTGCTCCCCCCGCCTTGGGGCTTGCCTCGGGGCCCGTCGAGGCCCTCCTCGCTGCGGGGTCCTCGGGTTTTAAACAATCTGGATGTTGTTCGGCCTCTGGCCGCCGCAGGGATGTGTGCTCTTTTCAGTTGGCTTGCGAATGCAGGCTGTCCGTCTGGGGGCTTGAGATCGTCCCCAGCGTTTCCGATCCGATCCGATCCTCCTCCCCCTCCTCCTCCTTCTCCCCCTCCTCCCCCTCCTTCTCCTCTAGATGCTGGGCAGTATGGGCCACTCCCAGGAAGACGGCAGACCAACAACAGGCCGAGCTATGGGCAAGATTACAGACGATACGATGCTCGTTTGGGAGGCTCCACACATGGACGGACTCAAAGGTGACCATCAGAGGATGGCAGCGAGGCCACCACGTACACAGTGCGCGGCGACGTGCGAACTATGACATCTGGAACCACATCGGCAGGGCGTTGCATCAGAGAGCTCCCGACCACGGAGACCCCGAGGAGCTCGTCAAGCTGCAGCACGCGCCGAGCCACCTCGACAACGAGCAAAGGCTAAGACTCGGAGTGAGCCTTGAGGCGTGGCTCGGCAACGCGGCAGCGGATGCCCTGGCCGACAGAGCGGCGGAGGCACACGCTATATCAGCCCCGCTCAAGATGTACGAATGGGTTTGCGCAACTTGCGCGCTGGTGTGGAAAAGACTCATACGTGCTCATATCGAGGCGTGCGCCAAGGACCCCGCCACCCAGATGAGCGAGAAGCAGGCCTCCCAGGAGCTCAAGAAGAAAGCCATCAGTGAGCTGAGCCAGGCCCTTTCCGTCTCCCTTCATATCCTCTTCCCGTCCCGTGGTCGTTGGCAGTGTACCTCGTGTAAAGAAGTTGTTAGTAAGTGCGCAGGAGCTTTAGTCATTAAGAGATGGCTCAAGAACTGCAGAATTCGTCCTGGGTCTAAGGGTGCCCAGGGCCCCACGCACAGCATCCAACTAGGTGACAGATCTGCACCCCCCTCCCGCACGATGCAATGCCGATTTTTGCTCCACATGGTGGTGTTCCACCTGTGGCCGTCGGTACAAGCTACCGATCGTGGAAGTGTCAAGGGTTTGTGATTCGAGTGTAAGCGCCCGACCAACAACGGAGTTTATGTGATCAATTGTTTGTCCCAAGGCAAGCCAGTGCCACAGTAGGGGGCGCCTCGTTCCCGAGCCCCGAGATGGCGCAGCCAATAGGCGTTACTCGACATCGTCGTCGCCGAAGCTCCTCCTCCTCCTCCTCCTCCTCCTCCTCCTCCTCCTCCTCCTCCTCCTCCTCCTCCTCCTCCTCCTCCTCCTCCTCGTCCTTTCAAGCAAGTAAGAACCCTTGAGGCAAAGCCCACTTGGAGGATGTCCTGGGGAAGGCGGCCGAGAGCCGGGGCCGACGAGAAGGGGCGCGAAACCTGCTGCATCCGCCCGGCTTCGGCCAGGCACCGTCCTCGATGCACGGAGGCTTCTGGCGCCAGGAGGCGCGGGGAAGCTAGCCGCGTGCGCTGACTCGCGACCCCTACCCCTACTGAGCCCCATTTACCCTCGCCCCATTGCGCCTCCCGCCTCCCTCCTCCTCCCCCCCTTTTCCCCACCCCTCCTCCTCCCACCTCCCCCTCCTCCTCCCCTCTCCTCTCCTCCTCTCCTCCTCCTCTCTCCTCCTCCTCCTCCTCCTCCTCCTCCTCCTCCTCCTCCTCCTCCTCCTCCTCCTCCTCCTCCTCCTCCTCCACATCCCTCCACCCCTCACCTCCCTCCCCGAGAGGCTGTTAGCCGATTCCGCCCGGCCTGAGAAAGCTTCAAGGGCGCCCGGGCGAGCAGGTCTGCTCGCTTCCGACTCGGTGGGGCAGGCCAGGGTGTCCTTGGCCTTCCTCCTTCTCGTCGACCCGTATTGGGCGGTCGAGAAAGGGCCATGCTTTCGGCTGGCCAGCTGACTGAAGCCCTGCGTCAAGAAAACGCGTGGGCAAGATTGCACGCTGGAAGGGCCAGAAGTGTGAACAGAGAAACACAATTAGACAGCAGACCCATGCTCGCCACAGCAAGCGGAAGCAGCTGGCGAAAGGAGGAAGAGTAGGAGGAATGGCGGGGGCCTTCCTTGCCCTCGGGTTCACTGAGCGGCTTCCGTGTCTGTGCGTTCCCAGCATGCCTGAGGAGGGAGACAGAGTCAATTCGTGGCAGCAGATATTGTTTGGGCTTGTCCAAGTAAGAGATGCCAAGCCCAAAACAACTACGAGTGGCAGATCTGAGCCCGACCTGGTTTTTCTTCCCTATTTTTTTATGCGAGCCGCGGAAGGCGGTAACGACGGCGCTGCATCCGCCGGCGGAAGCCGCGCGGGAGCTCGGCGGAGGGGGTTGCGGCCCGCGTCCCCCTTCGGCGGCAAGCGCTCTCAGGTGGTTCTCTCGCCCCTCGCCGATGCTGCCGGCCCCTGGCGGGCCAGCGGGACCGCGGCGGCGCCGGAGGCGCTGGGCGCGAATGAACGGAGGAGCGATAAAATGGGGGGGAAAGGAGGGTGCCCTTCCCCCGGATCCTGTCGTGGCAATTTGTTCACAACGGGCGTTTTCTCTCGTTGTCGGGCCCCGGGACCCTCTCTCTGGGCGTGTTTTTGTTTTCGATGTTGTAATTTGTTCGCCACGTCGGGTCTCAGGGCTTTCGGGCCTCAAAGGGGCCCCTTGGAGGAGCCCTGAAGGACAGCCCTCGCTGCCTCCCTCCACTTGTCGCCCCCAGAGGCGGCGCCAGTGTGTTGAGACCGCCCCGCGGGGGCCGGCTGGGGCTACCCCGGGGGGCCTGTGGAGGCCGTCTCGGGCACGTGCAGAGGGGGCAGGGGGGGGGGAGGCTTCGCTGAAGGAGGCTGCTTCTTATAGATGGAGCGGGCCTTCTCTCTGCAGATGCAAGGCCGGCGCCTTTTAAGAAACACCCTCTTCCTGAGGAGCCTTCCCCCCTCCCCCATACCCACCATCTGCGCGCCACCAAGGGACGGGAGGCTGTCTGTGTGCAGCCCGAAGCGTTTTTCTATCATCGGCACCCTCTGGAGGAGAGTTGAAGGACACCCCGTCCAGATGAGAACGCCCAGGTCATCAACGTCGCTGCGCTGAGACGTGTTGCACCGTCTCGCTGGCGCATCTCACGCTCGTTGATGTGACAGTCGAGCTGGATGGCCCAGTCAACGATGGCATCGTCGATGGGGCCTCTTGCCTTGATGCCCGCAGGCCAGAAGTGTCTCCCGCCGCCTACGACTCTGCGGATGTGGACGTCCCAATTGTCGTCATAATGCCGTTGGGCCTTAAACCCGATGGCTCCCCGTATGACAAGACGGACGTGGTCGTGGTGTTCCCGGAGCTAGGACGCTACGATCAGGTAGCCTTCCTTACGTGCGAAGGCCGCGTTGGACGGAATCACCGTGATCGAGGATGCAATGGAACCGCAGCCTCTCGGCCGCCCTAGGTTGGCGGCGCGCACAAGGGGGTGGAGGGGGGGGGGCTTCTGAGAAGGAGGCTGCTTCTCAGAAGGCGCCGGCCTCGCGCCTTCTGAGAAGCAGGAGTGCTTCTAAGAAGCCCTCCCCCCTCCCCCCACCCCCCTCTGCGCGGCGGCCGCCCCGGGGCCCCCGAGCCTCGGGCGCCGGCAGCGCGCCCCGCGCCCCGGGCGGCGCCCTCGTCCTCCGCCCTGCCAGGCGGCCGTGCGTGCGCGCCCCGCCAGGGGCGAGCCGCCGGCGGAGGCCCCAGGACTCCAGGCTCGAGAGGCGCTCGAGAGGCCCGAGAGGCCCAAGAGGCCCGAGAGGCTCGAGGGGCTCGGGGCGCTCTGGGCGCGCGAGAGGCGCGAGAGGCCCGAGAGGCTCGAGGCGCTCGAGGGGCGCGGCTGGCTCGAGGGGCTCGAGAGGCTCGAGGGGCTCGAGGGGCTCGGCAGGCGCGATGGGCTTGAGAGGCTCGGCGCTGGGGTCGCTAGGGGCGCGCGGCCCCGGCGCGAGGCCCCTGCGCGAGGCCCGCCGCCGCGGCGCAGGCGCCGCCCCATCGGCGGGCGCCTGCTGCCACTGCCTGCCCTGCCCGCAGGCGCTCGCGGCGACCGTGCAGAGGACGGCGCAGACTCGCGGGCACGGATACGGGCTTGTCCCTCTACAGGGGGGGATATTCAATTGTCCCGGCAAAGCAACCTAACAGCGATGTGTAGAAGCATATCTGAAAGCATTCCCCTTAAGATTCAGATGAAAATCCAGTTGTAGAATTCTGCTGTTCTCGCAGTCGTGGTCGCATTCGCGATGACAGTCGCAGCGGCAACGGCAGTCGCAGTCACAGCCTCAGCCTCAGCCTCAGTCTGCTTCAGCCTCAGCCTCAGTCTGCCTTCAGCCTCGGCCTCAGCCTCAGCCTGCCTCAGCCTCAGCCTGCCTCGGCCGCAGCATCAGCCTGCCTCAGCATTCAAAATGTGGCCCAGGAATGGAGTTCTGGGAACTAGAAGAAGACGAAGTGGCCTACAGTTGGCTCCGGGCATTCAAAATCATGCCCAGGAATAGAGTTCTGGGAACTTGAAGAGCACGAACTGACTACAGTTGGCTCCGGGCATCCAAAATGTGGCCCGGGAATGGAGTTCTGGGAAGTCGAAGAGCACGAAGTGGCCTACAGTTGGCTCCGGGCATCCAAAATGTGGCCCGGGAATGGAGTTCTGGGAGCACCAAGAGCGATTTTGCGAGGATGTCCCAAGCGATTTCGGCTTCGACGGCAGCCTCCCCGGGTCCCGCCCAGACCCCCCTGAGGAGTCATGATGTTCTCTTTTGAGACCACTAGAAACCTATCAGCAAGAGCTCTTAGGTAAAAAGAGTAAAAACATAGTCGGGGGACGATGTATGGATTGTTTTAATAAAAACATGTTGGAGTATTTGGGGGGGCATCTTTATCTTTCGCCCAAAATCTCCACGCCCGAGCTCACGGCACGGCCCCAGGGCCCGAGAGAAGACGAAGGCGCCCGGCCCGAGAAAACGGAGGCGCCAAAGGATCTCGGGGCCCAGTCTGCCTGCGCAGCGGGTACAGACGCAGAGCGGCGAAGCGCTCTCAGTCCACGAGCGGGGGCAGCGATCGTGGCGGTTGGGGCGCTGGTTCGGCAGTGTGTGCCCACGGGAGGCTTCGGACCCTCGGGGAGTCCTCACAGTGGAGACCCATGCTAAGGGACACCCTGCTTGCCTCCAGGGGGTGCCCTGGAGGCAAGCAGGGTGACCCTGGCAGGGTGCCCTGGCAGGGTGCCCCGGCAGGGTGCCCTAGGTTTCTTGGTTTTCGGTGGCGTTGCCATGGACAGCGCGACGCTCCCATACCAAGAATCAATGGACGCCCTGGGGTCCCAGGGTTGGGTTTCTTGTGGAAGGTTGCTTGTGATCGGGCTCCCACTGTATCTGATGAGGGCGGCGGCGATGTGCATGGCCAGTCCGCGACGGGAGTTCCACCGGCTTCCAGGGCCTGGGTTCATTATCCAATGGCTCCTTCCACAATGGCTTCGCACACGCTTCACATGCCTGGCGCTACGGCGCCCACCTGCGACGCCCTGGCCGGCGACAACTGCAGGTCCGAGTCCGAGTCCGAGTCCTTCCACACTGCCCTCACCGCAGGGCGGGGATAGGCACAGGGGGGGGGCCCGCACGCACCGGCCCCCAGTCGCCCATGGGTCGCCGACAGGGGCCCGACAGCCCCGGCCTGCCCAGGAGCGTGCGGATGCATTATTGGAGGCACATCGCCCGGAAGGTTCCAAAGGGGGGTTTTGGGGGAGGGGGTTTTCCAGGAGAGGTCCCCCAGGGGTTTCGCACCCCCTGTTTTGACGAGGTTCCGAGGCCCCTGGGGTACTCTCTGGAAAACCCCCTCCCCCCAAACCCTTTTTGGAACCCTCCAGATCGCCGATCTGTCGGCGATGTGTCGCCGACTCCAGGTCGATGTGCCCCTGCCAGTCCCCCCCCCCCGTAATCGTTGCCCCTCACACGAGCGGCGAGCATGTCCGTATCCGCGCCCTCGCGGTCTGGATTTTCGGGCGCGGTCCCGCGGATACGCGGCCGCACCGATATGCGTGCCTCGCGGGGCATCCGCGAGAAATCGCCCCGTATCCGTGGGGTCGCAGCCAATGGGGCCCAGCCCGCGAGGCCGCGGATACGGACATGTTTTCCGCCCGGTTCGAAGACGGGGCCCTTGCAGACTCTTCACCGTTTTCGCGCTCCCGGGGCCCGCGAGAAAGGTGCCCGTGATAAAAGGCTGGTCTGGGGGACAGCCCAAGGGTGGCCAGGACCCGCTCCTCGCAGGACCTGGCTCTGTCGTGTCAAAGTCAGAGGCGCAGACAGGAGGGGGATGGGCCCAAGGTCAAGTCCAGCACGGTTTCGTGAGGGATAGTCAAAAATGGTCCTAAGATAGTGCGGGGACGATTTGTCCACGAAGCTTGACTGACCATGAGGGAGTATTTTTTGAGTATGTTTCACTGTTCGTCCAAAACCCCCCTGTAGGAGGAGATGCCCGACCTGACCCAAGTTAGGGGAACAAAAAGTGACATAAACATGAAAACTCGGAGGTCCGCGCGGATTTCTCAGATCGGTGCTGGACCCCCCTCCCTGGCGCGCGGAGCGCGCCAGGGGCGGCGCCAGAGGCGCAGCTGGTGGGCCCCAGCGCCGATCCGAGAAATCCGCGCGGACCTCCGAGTCTCTATGTTTATTTCACTTTTTTGTTCCCCCACAAGTGGAGGGGGGGAGACGTCGACCCCCTGATGAATGGCCCGTCCCTCGCCGATCGCCCTTGGTGCCCCACCCTGCCCAGACGAGCGTGCTGCGTCGCCGTCGGGGGCTCCTCTCGCCGGTCGTCGATTCCCGTTCACTGCTTCCCCCTCGTCCTGCCAGGGAGGATCGATCGCCTGGAATCGACGGCCCCTGCCTCCCTCCCCGGACCCCCGACGTCGCGATTTCTTCGCAACGTCGACCCCAAGAGGTCTGGGCCCCTTCCCCGGCCGGGACCGGCTTCTCATCCCGAGTCGTTTCTGGACGGCCTCGGGGCCCGGTGAGGGCCCCGAGACGCCGAAAATAACGAAAATCTGCCACGCGCAGAGGGGGGTGGCGGGAGGGGGGGGGGGGGGCTTCTTAGAAGCAGCCTCCTTCTAAGAAGCCCCCCCCCTCCCTCCACCCCCGTGTGCGCGCCGCCAAGAACCCCCCCCCCGTCGTTTTTTTTCACAACGCGAGGGGGCCTGGGGCCCTCCCCCCCTCCCACGACCTATGCCAGCCACCCCCCTCCCCCTCCCACGTTGCGGCCCCCCTCGCTGCAGGACGGGAGGCGGCTCCCTGGGCGGAGGCTGCCTCGTCCGAAGGCCTCCTCGCCCGAGGGCCCGCCCCCCGTTCCGCGCCATGCTTCCGGGGCACCACCTCCGCGCCATGCTTCCGGGACGAGAAGGAGGAGGAGGGGGAGGAGGAGGGGGAAAGGGAGAAGAGGGGGAGGAGGAGGAGAAGGAGGAGAAGGAGGAGGAGGAGGAGGAGGAGGAGGAGGAGGAGGAGGAGGACGACGACGAGGAGGGGGAGGGGGAGAGGAGGAGGAGAGGAGGAGGAGGAGGAGGAGGAGGAGGAGGAGGAGGAGGAGAGGAGGAGGAGGAGGGAGGATGGAGGAGGAGGAGGAGGAGGAGGAGGAGGAGGAGGAGGAGGAGGAGGATGAAGAGGGGGAGGAGAGAGGAGGAGGAGGAGGAGGAGGAGGAGGAGGAGGAGGAGGAGGAGGAGGAGGAGGATATCGAAGCGCCAATGGAGGCGCCGCTGGCAGGGTCGGGCGGGCAGGGTGTGCGGCGTGCGGCGCGTTGCGGCACCCAAGCGAGGCGACCTCTGCACCAGGCTGAGCGCTCGGCCACGAGCCAGAAGAGCAAGAAACGCACAAAAGGAGGGAGGGGGGATGGGCAGCTCCGTCGGAAGATCCCCCCCCTTTTATCAATATTGCATCCAGATGTGTGTGCGTGTGTGTCTCAGAATGCGTGTTCTCCCAAACGTGTGCTTGCCCCGTTCACTTCCGCCGATGGTACGCAGCTTCTGCCGGCCATCATCAAACCGCCTGCATCGTACAGTGGAGACCCATGCCAAGAAACACTGCTTGCCTCCAGGGTGCCCTGGGTTTTTTGGGTTTCGATGGTTTTGCGATGGAAAGCGTGACGCTCCCACACCAAAAATCACTGGACGTCCTAGGGTCTCAGGGTTGGGTTTCTTGTGGAAGGTTTCTTGTGGACCGGCCTCCACTGTACTTTCCCAGGTTTACAGATCTTCCTCCCGTTCCGGCGAACGCACCGACTACAGTGACGAGGGCCGCCGGGTACTCCAGGATTCCTGGGGCGCATCCTGCGCCAATCGCACCATTGCATCATGCTCGCCCTGACCCAGACGAGGCACGCCCCGCGCCCATGAGAGAACGCTCGGCCGACAGCGCCAGCTGGCGCGGGGGCGATGCGTTGATCCACCGTTCAAACGTGGGGCCCCGAGGGACGAGGCCCCAAATCGGAGGCACGCCCCGCGGGGAAGCAAGGGCGGGCAGGCCGTCTCCGAGGCCAGCGGGGCTCCTCAGAAGCCCGCGGGCCTTGGGGCCGTCTCTGTCTCTGGAGGAGGCTTCCGAACCTTCTGATCAGGCCCGCCCCCTCTGCACTCCCACCTGGGTTTGCCGCCGACTGCGGGCCCAATGCTTCGGGGCCGGAAGCGCCAAACTGAGGCGTGCCATCCGCGGAGAGGGGCCTCTGCCCAGGCATCGGGCACGCCCCGCGCGAGTCCTGGGGGGGGGGCGCAGAGGTACCAGCACCTGGGCGTCAAGCACGACCCGCTGACGCTCATCCCGCCGCAGTTCGAGACGCCGATGCCGGCGCTGCAGCCCGCGGTGTACCCGCCCTGCCTCCGGGAGCACCCTGGCCCGCGCCCGTGCCTCCTCCTCCTCCTCCTCCTCCTCCTCCTCCTCCTCCTCCTCCTCCTCCTCCTCCTCCTCCTCCTCCTCCTCCTCCTCCTCCTCCTCCTCCGCGTGGCAGTGCCACGCGATGTGAATTTCACAGGCTCGACCGCGCGGCGTATGCTGCTGTTTTCCTTGTGCCTACCGACGCGTACCAAGTCAGATGTCGGCTCCAAGGGGTTGTTTGGGATAGCCTCCCTCAAACTGCCCCCGCCGCGGAGCACCTCGTCCTCGCTGTCCTCTCTCTTGTCCAGGCCGGACCCGCGCGACCATTTTCTGATTGTCTAGGTGCGGCTCGTTTGTGCAACAAGCCGCCCTTGGCCCAGCTTGCGCACGCTCAGGTTTTCGCTGGGCTTCGGCGCGGTGCACTTGAGGGCCAGGGACATGATCACGTTGGTCAGGTGATGCACACGCCCGCGCATAGGTCGGATGAGATAATTCAGACACTGGCACCGAGGGACCAGAGGATCGCCCTGGGCAATAAGGATGCCGATCTTCTTGCTAAAGACGCTCTCCGGCTCCATCCCCACGGTTCCCCGTCGAGCAGCGAGCGCATGAGCTTGATGGCCAAGAGGTTACGGGTTGTTGCCAATCTGGTGGCCGATGTGTTGCCACTGCACCCGCTCCCCACTTTCAAGCGAAGTAAGACGCCGAGCACCACCCATGAGGCGTCGTGGCATGTGTGGTCTCCGGTGGGCGAGGGTAAGGTGAGGTGTGCTCGGTGTCTTCGTCTAGCCAAGGCTGGGCCAGACCTGGCTTTAATGCAGTGCCCTGGTCCTCCTCCAGTCCTCCGTCAGCTGTGTGGCAGCGAGAGTGTCCACCGTCACAGCCTGCAGGCCGCGTGGACGAAGCGATCGCGCCCTCTAATCTACTGCGTTCAGTGTGGCGCTTTTGCGGAAGAGCGCATAGGACCTTTATTGGTCAAGCGGTGTGACCGCGCCATCTCGGCCCGGAAGGCCTATCAGTTTCGGCGGCTCCAGAGTGGGCAGCATCCGCAGCACCGCAGGCGCCATGAAAAGATGGCTCTTGCGTCGGAGGCGGATCTGCGCTTGATAAAGGGGGCGATTGGGTGGGCGGTCGAGTCGGGGGGCGGGGCCTCGTCAAGCAGCTATTCCGCAGGGTTTATAAGCACCCCTGGGATGGACGCCCTCCGGGCCCGCCTGCAGGCTCGCGAAGCCCAGGCTGCCGAGGAGTGTCGATAGCCTTTGTTCTGGCCTAGGCGTTTGGCCTAGTTTCGTTTTGCTGGTACTGTTTCATCTGTTTGTCATCCTCCTCCTCCTCCTCCTCCTCCTCCTCCTCCTCCTCCTCCTCCTCCTCCTCCTCCCCCGTGGCTCCTGCCCATGCCCCTTCGCGCACCCGGCCCTCCAGCGGGCTTAAAGCAGTCAAGACGCCGCTGTGTCGTCGTATTTTTGCATCTGGGGCCCAGGACCGTCAACAAAGCAAATCCGCGGGACGAACAAGAGGTCCCCGGGAAGTGGTCCAGGGCTATTGTTAAGTCGGGTCTGTCCCTCTACAGGAGGAATATCCCAAAATAGTCAAAAGATAGTCTGGGGACGATTTTCTATTATCCGTAAGGGCTTCGCCCCATTGCCGCCGGCCCCCTCTCTTCGAATGGGATTTGCCAGAGATGTTTTGGGATGTTTAGACGCTGACGTGAAGCAATGTCTGAACTTCACGCGAGGGCCAATATTGATTTACGAGGGTTTATGGTTTCGGCGGCGCGATTATTAGATAGTTTACGATGGTTTATGGCTTCGGGGACGCGAATATTGTGTAATGCACGAGGGTGTGTGGCCTCGGGGATGCAAACACTGCGTAATGTACTAGGGTTCATGGCCTCGGGGGCGCAAATATTGCGTAATTGATAAAAGTGTATAACCTCGGGGACACGAACATTGTATAATTTGCTTTGGTTCGTGGCCTCGGGGACGCAAGCATGGTGTAAT